GGTAATCAACCTAAATTTCCCTTTTCTTAATTTCATCCCATTACTCTAAACCCTATCCCCTTGTTCCACCTAGTTCTTCACCTTCATTAGTGTTTACGCTCTCCAAATACTAATAGATAACTGGTAAGAAAAAACACTCTCAGTCGTCATTTAGCTAGCCCATAAATAGTTACTGCTTCTCTGAAAAATATGTCAGTTCCAAAATATATTGTTTTCCTTTAAAACCTTCTTTAATATTAAAAGATTCAAGTATTTTAAAAATAAGCATAAAGAGTCTGGAAGTGAAATGCACAGCAGTCTGTAATGGACTAGAGCAGATTAAATGCATCCTTAATGTGGGCGGGTGATAATGGTACAGCTACATTCACCTTCTTTTGCCCTTTGCACAGATACAGAACAAACCATTGAAACAATGGGATGAAGCCTTCCCTCCTACAGTAGTCTATTTCTATATTCATTCTTCTATTTTACCTATCTACATAAATATATATAAAATGAATGATAGTACTAACAATTTGTGTTACTCTATAATTACATAAAACATTACAAGGTGGACTTTCAAGTGAAGACCAAGCCTTATTTTATGACTTATTCATCACACTACCTATTCTTTTTCAATTACCAATTGGGATTCCTATCAAAGTGTTTGGAAGGCTGCCCTGGATGAAAAGCAGAAGAAATATCTTTCAACCCTTCTCCTCATCACTTGAGCAAAGCCTGATCTGTGTGGGGCAGGTCCGGTGGCTTTTCTTCTCCTCTCTCCCCAGGAGAGAAATTTGATTTAATGGCACAGTCTAAAGACCATGTTTTAGTAGCGAACCTTCAAAATAATTTGTTTTAAAAATTGAGGTTTCTCTGCATTGTCCTTGAGTATCCCAAAACTCTCGCCTTGGTCTCTATGTAGGAAATAATTAGATCCCAATTGTGTCTAGATTCCTGTAGTAGTGGCTTGATTCTGCCTTTATTCCTCAATGTTGTGATACTACTTGATTCTTTTGAGTCTTATCTTGAATTCTAAGTTAGTTTTCTGCTTACAGTCAATCTGATACATGTTTTACATGAATAAACATACCAATAGAATAGAAGAAACATTGCATAACTTTTGGAAAGTTACTCTATGGACAATACCCTAGAACACTTAATTCTGTAAGATGGCATCCTTGTGTTATAAACTATTGGCATTCCTGAAGGCATTTATGTGCCTTTCTAGAAAATGTCTGGTTGAAATAATGAACATTTACAACCATTACCAAATTCAACAACACTTCAGTTTTAGTATGTGGGCACAAGTCCAAGACTAAGTGAGCATCCACCATCTCTATTCTTCCTTCCTTAGGCTACACAATGGAAGTTCTGAAATGTTATATTGATCTGTGAGAATTTTTCTCACATATTTGTAGGTAGCATAGAATACTCTTAAGTTGAAAACAACAGAAGTGAACTCTCACAAACTTAAACAGAAGGGAGGATATTGACTGAGATAACACTGTGGCATTTCAAGGAACTCAACAGGAGTTGACCAACCAGGCTGTGGAAGGAGAAGAAAGGCAGCTGGCTTCTAGATCTTCTGGAATAAGAAATAAAATTCATGTGTCTTCTGCTGTGCTGATGTGAATGCACTCATTTTCAACAAGCCCCAGCAAGTGGCCTTCTATGTTTCAAATTTTAAATTTCTCAGAGAGAGAAACTGGCTCTGTCTGGGCTCCTGTTGAGCATGGTCCATGAAGCAGGCTGGGGATTCAGACTTGAGATATTGGCAGTACAACTGGGACCAGCTTTTGTGCATCAAATATCCCTTCAAGAAATAGAGACATAGCTGTGAGAAATCCATACACCGTAGGCGTCTTATCCTCTGGAGTTCAAGTTATATTGCATGGTAGGTACTGAAGAAGATTAATGTGACTTATTGCAACCAATACTTGTTTGATACTGAGATTGGCATATGAAGTTTCTAACGTTTCCTTGGGTCACTGATGGCAGACATTCAAGTGAAAATCTAGGATCTTTTAAGTGTAGCTGGGTTGCAGAATTTCAATCACAATACATCTTGTATATAAAGCAAAAATAAAATTTATTTTCTTTATTTTGGTCGCAGTTTATCTAGGCTTCTTCCCAAGCCCTCAATCAGTAGTGAATGAGGTAGAGAAGAGAAATTAATTAAATGTCCCATCAAGTTTGGAGCTGTCAGGCCTGATAATTTAAGCTGTCTTTCTCAGTTGGTGTTCATTCTTCCATTTGGATAAAATGCCCAATCTCTTATGTATTCACCCCCCTGCTTCTTCCCCTAAGATGATGTCCTGGTGTGTGAGGAAAGGTGAATGCAATTAATGGATCCTACTGGCTATGAGAGTAAGTAGGACTTCTTACACTCATGTGGAGCCCTTGCATTATCTTCTGACACTCCTGTTACTGAATCCACTTCCTCTCTGATCTCTAGAAGCCTGTTTGCATTCCTGGCCGCAGTCTGGGGCTGGTGAGCTCATGGTCCTTTACTTTGGCTTGCACAGAATGATAGGGAAAGGGTATGCAACTCCTCCTGTGGCCATGGTCTTGGCTCAGGTCTCTTTGTCTGTAGAATTCTGAGTCCCCGCCATGAGTTCTATCCAGTTCACTGGCCAGTGGTCCATCCCCAGTGGCTGCTGTGGGGCTGTCTTATCCTGACAGCAGCACCTATGCCTCAACTAACCAAGAGTAGCCAATGAAGCTTAACCAGAGGGCCCCTCTCTGCCTAAATATGTGACAAGGACAATGGCCATTTTGATGTAGGCTTTGTAAGAAAGGTTGGGTCAATTCTTACATTTATTGAGGACAAACACATATGAAGATTATCTAGGCTATCACCTTTAATATCCAGGGTCTATTTATTCCAGGCTTTAAGATTTGCTGGACATGTCCACGAGATGAAATATTGAGGTCTAAGATTATTTCCACGTGTGGACAAGACACACTTTACAGAATTTCTCCGATGAGATGATACAACTTGTGATCTGATAGGTCAAGTAGAAATCTTCTCTCCAACAGTAAAATTAGATTTGAAATTGTTCAGTGACCAATCTCACCCCAATATCTGTCCTAATCTGGTGAACTATGGGGATTTCCCAAGGTTTCCTAAGCCTAAATGGAAAATCTGATGTTCTTGATGTAGTCTCTGGATCTCCAGAAGTCATTTCTTATTACCATATACGTCTTAATAGCAGGGAGTTTTTTTCTGACTAAAACTGGTACAATAAATGACCTTTCTATCAAATATAACTATTTGTATTAAAACAACATAAGCAGTTGGACTCCAAGTCTAGCATCGTGCTTTGAGAAGTAACTCAAAGACGTTTTGTCAGTAATACCTCGCCCAAACTCAGTAGCTGGATTCTGACTAGCATTCTCTTTTTTGTTTTCTGTTTTAACTACCTTGCCTACAGAAGTCAAAAATGAATTTTCCACATAACTGACTTTTTAAAATGCTGCCTCTCTTTAGTCTCTCCATATGGTATGTTTTCTTTGTAACCAGAAAGTCGTTACAGAGTATAAATAAACAAATAAATGTAAATACATAGATTTTTTTTCCCCCCATACTGACCTTTCCAGAGAATGTTATGATTCTCTGTCCTCTGCCACTCATGACTCTTCCGTGGCTGGATCTGACCTGCTTAGAACTCATAAATCCTTAACATTTGGGGGGTGTCTATTCAGCCCAGTTTGCCCGCGTCATGTAAGTTATTTCCTTTGAAAAACGCACATACATTTTCACTGGGTCCACAGGCCTGGGGAGTTTCTGTGGGCCTAAAAGTGAGAATCGGTGTCTCCCAAATCTCTTTCTTCCCTTCATGAGTACTGAGAGCTAGGTGATGTGGAGCCAGGCTCCTGCTGGTACAAGCATCTCCCTCCCTTCTTCTACGCACTCCACCAGCGACATTCACACGCTCATTCATTCCCTCCACAGAGAATACTTGAGCATCCTCACTGTTTCCCAGACAGGGGAGAGTAGAAGGTGGATAGAAAACTGAATTCTCTGTCTCTCGCCACAATTTACATTTAATTCCAGCTAGTGTTGTTTCTCTTACTTGGAGAGGGGTCTAGCTAACGAAATACGTTAAGATCAGATTATGGTCATCACAACATTAGCAAACAAAAGGTATAGAAACTAATCTCACATACCAAGAGTCACCATGATAGTCTTTATCTTCAAAATTTCTATTAGATTATTATGTCTCGTGCTTGCAGACACATTGAGCTATCGTGTGTTTGGAACATATGGACTGAAACTTGGAAGACAACCTGCATCAGGCATAACAGACACCAAAAGCAGAGATATACAGACCTATGCTAAGGCATTGAGGAGTCCATCTTCCCAAATCACATGATAGCTTCAATCATACTATAATAATTTGCCTCCTACAGATGGAGTTCAAGAGGAACCCATCAATGAATAAAAATATTACATCACTTAATATAAACCTTTGGTGTATATTACATGTATGATATGATAAATCAAACTATAGTTTAGAATTTTATCTGCTAGCTATATTTATTGACATATGTACTGATTTTAATCTTCAAGATAAGCTTTGTGACTCTTTTTAATAGCATCATTGGTTCAGTCTCTGTATATGTGTATGTTAGATGTATTAGACCTGTGTGTGTATATTTATACATATATACACACACATACTGTAAGCATATATGCCTATACATTTTTCATAGATAAATAAATCTTCTTTGAGCACCTTGTGTTCCATAACTAGTGTTTGCATTTGAATTTTCATAAAAAGTACTTTATTCTTGCTAAATAATTGTATTTAAGACCACCTGTATAGCAGCATAGTAGAGTTTACTTCTTAAAACATTTGCTTAGTTACCCAAAGAAGTCCCTAAAATTCCAACACGTGGATCCTATAAGAGCACTGACAAATTGGACAAAAAGCAAATTTGGACTTTTCAATATCATCAATAGCTATGAAATAAGTAAGTGGCTCTGATGGTAAGGCTACAGCAAAAAGACTTACTGTTGGGTGATCCTGGAAATCACAGTCTATGGATCCAGGCCTGCCAGTCATGGCCCACACTGCCATTTTCCTCTTCCTTATGCGAGGCTGTGGCATATTTACCAAATGACATCTCATGCTGTTTTCACACTATTGTTTCTTCAACGTCTTCTTTAACTAACTTTCATTTTGTTCTTCAATCTGTTGTATGTAGTAAGTAGGGAGTCTATCAACAAATGACTAACGCTCTTGGTGACTCTTCTCTCCCACAGCGCTTGGCTAACAGGTGCAAAATAGTGAACTGAGAGACTTTGCGGTGAAAGGATAATTTATTGTAATGGCAAAGACCTCAGCCATTACATTTCAGAAATGGCATCTGGAAGTACCCCTGGAGCACCACTCCCCTCAAAACTCTAGAATGGCCACAACATTACGGATTGGCAACAGTTAATTTTTGACCCTCTGCAAAGTTACATGACGTGACTTTTTTTGTGTTTGCTCTGGATGGGTGGGGTGAGGTCCCTATGAAGCTAATTGGTATTTTTCATCTGCTAATCTATATCCTATGTGGAATTACTTAGGCAGAACCCCAGAGTCAGAGTGAACTTTTCTTTCTGCTCTTCTCTTAAGCAATTTATTTGTCGTTTACTCTATCTCCATCTTTACCAGTTTGCTGTAATTTGATTTAGATTAATGATATGCCAATATGTGAGCCAGGGAAAAAACTGCTTTCCTTTATAGCACCCTATGAATTGGTGAAGGGCAATAACAATTTCAAGGATAAATTTGGGCTTGAAAACTGAGTTCCCACCACCTGTCAGTCCCCTGGTGCTTCGCCATCTTATCTAAAGCTTCTTCTGAGAATATCACAGCAGGTTGTCCCTGATTGCTAGTACATTCTCCCAAAGGGGGGACAAGTGTAAGAGGAACATTTGATACAACAGTCTCTCATGAGATGACTCCCAGTGAAGGTCATTGTTTAAAGCAGAGCCATATTTGGCAGCTCTTCGGGAAAACACCACTATGCATTTTATAAAACATACCAAGATGGCAAAACCGTTCAGTCCTATTGGAGGAGAGTCTTTATTCTCTATTTCTCCCCTTCTCTAAAATGGGCGATTGCTTTTCTGCCAAAGCGGCTCAAAAGGACCATGGAAGCTAAGGTCCTTCAAAGCTGTTAAATGCGTCTTCAAATTTACAATAAAATCAGCATGACAAATCTTCCAGTGAAATCTCTGGAGCATCACAGCAGCGCCTGTACAATTCTCCTTTCAGTCAGTATTTTAGTATTCCACACCTTGAGAAACAGAGAAAGCCAATGTGGGCGAGGAAAGCTAAGCAAAACAAAAACCAAAACAGAAAAAAAAAAGCCACCACCAACAAAGACAGTGGGGGAAAAAAAAAAAAAAAGCAAACAGCCACGCGCGCTATCAAGCATATGCCAATGTAAACAATCGGTGCGGGTTTGCCACGGCTGTGCCCTGCAGGTAGAAGGCAGGCAGCACGGGAGCAAATGGAAGGGGAAAGAGAAAGAGAAGCAGGAAGTGGAGGAGCCGGGAGCAAGGCGGCCTGATTGTGAGCCGCAAGACACACCATCAGCCATGCAAAACAGGACATACCTTTCTGCCTTGCTGGTTCTGTCGGCTGAGACAAAGCAGTCCCGTTCGCAGCGGGAGGCCAAATCAAAATGAAATTTTATTTAGTCTGCACTGTCCCCAGATTGGGTTTCAGAATGACTGCTTTAGGAGATAGCATGGATGTGGCTGATGCATGCTTTGCATATGAAACTGCAGTAGGAAAAGAAATCTACATAATCAAAAAAATCTGTGCTCTGTGTGTGTGACAAAAACCCTGTGGACCCCAGTGATTTTGCTGCCGTGTATGTTTCAAGCAGGCCCTTTCAGG